ATATATTGAAGTTATCACAATGAAAAAAGCAAATAATGTTAGCCTTTGAAACAGCTGCTGCCTACAAATGAGTACATCTGAAGCTTTTAAAAAGTCTGTCTTCATTATGTGATTGTGCTTCATTGTAATCAAATGTGACATTCACTGCATACTCAGGGTCGGACTCAGAGAGTGATTGTGTCATTGGTCCAGATGTGCTCACCTGGAACCACTTGGTGTGTCGGAGTGAAGCCAGAGCAGCCCGGCACTTCTGCCTGTCCAGGACCTCTTCCTCCTCCTCCTCCTCACCCTCCTTCTGTTTATTGTCCTCCTGCTCCCTGTCGTCCTGATGGCCTTTCTCTGGAGAGACGGACGGGGTGAGACGGGACAGACTGAGCGTGACCTCCCACACTCAAACAGACACACAGGCAGCGGGGTTGCTAATTATTAGTCAAACCCACTGATCTGACCGAATGAGCTAAGGGGACATTTGAGAGGTTCTGTAGATTTGGTTGTCTTTTTTGGGAGAGGGGGGGTGGGTTTCTCATGCACAAGGCAGGATCTTTCATGACATCGACAGGAGGAACCGGAGTAGACGTGAGCACATGCTGCCCGGCCGGAGTCTCACTCTAGATGCAGATCAGTGGCTGGAGGCGATGGAGCACGCCGGAGCATTAGTGTGTTATCAATTACAGCGCAGGACGAAAATGAAAGCATGGCGAAAACAGGGGGCCAAAAGCCAAATGAAAGATTATAATAACACTTTGGAACAGGGACACGTTTGATGCAAATGGAAATTCTGGCTCATTAAGATTGGGGAACAAATTCCCGATTTCTTTTTCCTCTTGGTTTCCCTTTAGTTTTTTTCGTTTGCTTTTTTAGCAATTCTACTTGAAGAGAGGGGCAGTCATCCCGCTTAAATAAAAAAAATGCTGCAGTTTTCTGGGGTGCCATGCTAGTATTTTCAGTCTTGCGGGGCCGGTCAGATGTTTATGTTTGACTGACACAGTCTCTCCACACGGGTTCCTGTGGGGGAGCGCTCCTGCCAAGACTGGAGGCGAGCCATGGGAGAACGACAGCAGAATAAAGAGTGACAGCAGATGACAAGGACAACATAAACATCTGAGTGAGAACGCCACCCTGGAAAGAAAGTGAAGGCCGTTTGTTCTCGGGAGCGGCTGAGGGGTGCCCGCTGTGGGACAGTCAAGCAGACGAACAAATAAGGGTGGGAGGAACAGACTGCAAACCACACTGCGGAGCTCACTGGTGACGGCTCACAGGCTATCAGTGAATCATCAGGAGGGAATCTGCGATAGCGAATTGAAACATTATCTTCAGCCTGCCAAGTCGCAAATATTAGATGATGATAAATGTCTCATCAGTGTGGAATCAGTGACATTATGGTTCAACAAACTCTTCTCTAAAGAGCAGCAGCCAGCCAAGATTAAATCATGGCTATTTTTTACCAGGCTGACAGTAATGCTGACACAGAGCATTCAAATAAGCTCCGGCTCCTAGAGAGGAGGTTACAGTCAAGTCTCTAATTCCAGATACACACAGTATTAAAATTCCAATGTATCTGTGTGTGTGTGTGTGTGTGTGTGTGTGTGTGTGTGTGTGTGTGTGTGTGTGTGTGTGTGTGTGTGTGTGTGTGTGTGTGTTTCATCAGTAGTAATGTGAGCGGCATGTGGTTTGGCAGTCTGTTGCTGAAGAGACCGTGTGAGAAGCTGAAGAGGATGGAAGAGGTGGAAGACAAGGAAGGAGCTGATGAGACACAGGGTTCGTCCAGTGTCACTCCTCCTCTAAGACCTAAGATTTAGGATCCTTTATGTTCCGCCCCTGGGAATTCTGGGTAAAATATCTACCACTATTAGTGGCATTGGAAGAGTAAACTTCTCTAATTCGGCACTTTCAGGTACAATCCAAGAGTTTACCTTTGTGCACAAGAAGACTCCGAAACAAATGTAATTGAGAATTGAAGGGAAATCACAAAAAAAGCCATTAAATTACGATTTATTTCCGAAAAAATACTTTGTTGCAAAATACTTTTGTCTAATTTTATTCTTGTAAATGTATAAAGTTTTGAAGGTGAAGCTTTTGTCTTGTGCAGTAATTCCCTAAGTTTTGGACCCAAGTTAATACTTAAAAAGATAAACATTAAAACTGTCAGGGATTTTATTATACCTTTTTATAACTACAACCTAAGGACTCGCGAGAGTGCCATGGGAATAAATATAGAGCATCTCAGTTTTAAATATTAATAACATTTTATATATCATTATTAGTTCTATATATATATATATATATATATATCTGTATATATATATATATAGAGAGAGAGAGAGAGAGAGAGAGAGAGAGGATAATGTGTTGCTTCAGCAGAGATGGTTAAGCAGCACACTTGCTTTTTAAGGCAGCTTAAAGGTCGGGTCAAGGTTAAAGTCCAACAGTATGTTTAATGTCAATAATAATGGGACTTTCATAAAACTGCTCATATGAAGTGTATATATGTAAAAATTGAATTTGTTTTAATGTCACAGCCCTTATTTGCTTATCTACTTACATTGTCTGTCCAATCACGTTTCATCTCGCAAATTAATCCATCCCCTTCATTCACAGTTAGTCTCTTTTTTCGATTAGCTTTAATTTAAATATAATTATTTTTAAATGTTAAACGTGTAGGCAGAGGGCTACCTACAAATTAAATTAGATCTAATTCATAGCAGCAGCACTCAGTCAGGAAACACTCAATTATGTAGGTGGTACACTCAAGACTCCATAAAATAAGATACTAAGAAATAACCTGAATATGGTAATTAAAAAAACAAGATTACTCCAGCTCTTTTGTGAAAGATGGGGAATTTTTCAAGTATGTATGCATTCATTTATTTGGCATGATTGATGCTTTTCAGAACCTGTTTCCCAGAGGCACGCTATAAAGGAACCGTCAGTCACAGGTCAACACCACAGACAGATAAGAACAACCCCTACTAAATTCTCCCCGACATCATCAGCTTGGGTGAATTTTGATTAGTGACCAGGACATCACATTAACTTAATTAACACCGTTTTTTTACAACATGAAATTATGGGATGTCATTTTGAGCCAATGCAAATTGAACACCAGAAAGGGGTCATCCCCTGTAATTAAAGCAGAGAAGCCGGAGTCATTTTTAGTCTATGTGCTCGGTAGTAGACATGGACCAGAATTTCATGGTGACCCAGAGAGAAGTCCAGTCAAAAGAGGAGAGGGTGGAGGGGGGGTAAGAGGAGCATGTCTGAGGCAGAGAGTGAGAGGGTTGGTTTGATTTAGTTGTTGGGGAAGCCCCTTGTACCCAGGGTTTCCTGTAGCCGGGTTGCGGGGGGGGGGGCGCCTCGTCAGCAACGGGGCCGCGGAGAAGTGTCAACCCACACAGCGCTGACCTGCGGAGCTACGGCAACAAAACCAACAGTCAGTGAGCAGAGGCTATAGCTTCACACCAGGGGTCAATTCCGAGCCAGAGGGCATCAGTTAGACTGTTACTCACCACTACAAATAAATACAGTAAAAGTGTGAGTTATTTTGATCAATAACTGTTCCTGGTGTGCAAGAACTTTCCAAAAATTGATACAATTAACTGGGAGATTTGAATCTCTTTCATGGGATCAGCTGATCTGTTAAAAAGCAAAAACAACCTCTGCCTATATTAACGCTGCCCAATAGAGTGGTTCAGGAATGATTCCTAAAACCCAGATGATTTAGTATTTCTATTACTATTAAGAGAAAATGTCAGTAAATGCTCTGTTTTCGCTGTCTACCTTTCTCTTCTTTGAGTGCGCCATTTGAAATGACTCCGAATGTTCCTCTCTTCTTGTCTCGTCTCTGTGTGTGTTTGAATCTATCGTGCTGACTCACTGACTGCACCGATTTGATTGACTGAGTAGCGTCACCTCCTTAAAACATTAAACAATAACTTTTTAAAACCTTTTTATCTTTATGTTTTAAACATTTTTTAAAAACATTTTCAACATCGTGGATAAATCCTTATATGCTCCCGGCAACACACTGAACGTCAACTTTGCCTAACACCCAGCTCCTTTTCTTTAAAGATTAATTCTTTAAATTCCTGTACTATAGTCTGATTATTGGATAGCTGAATCGTCTTTCTCAGATGCAGGATGATATAGAAGAGGACACCTGGGACAGACGTGTCCTTTTCCCCCAATCCCAATCCAGAACAACGCCTGTGGAATCATCCTTCACCGGCCATCTGCTATTTCCCCTACACTTGACCCAGATCCATATTGTCCCTTCTCCCCTGTTGGCCTCTCAGCTCTCTCAATGTATCATCCTTCCCAATGTTCTCCGGGCTCTCTCCCACATAAAGCTCAGGTTTCATAGCACTTTTATACCTTCACATTGCCTCTATATAATCCTTCCTCTCAGCCCTCTGTTGGCAGGAAATGGTTCAAATGAAAACAGAGCAAGCATCTTCTCAAACAGGAAGCATAAAAGGGGGTAAGGCATAGGGGGCAGAGGGGATGAGGGGTCAATACCTTCTTCTGTGGGGCTGTGTTCCTCCCTCATGGTTAAGGAGGAGAGGGTGATCTTCAGCGTGAGTCGAGGGTCTTTGGTGTTGCGGACCCGGATGGCTGCTTCAGAGACGCACGACTGCACCTCAAATTTGTCCTCTGTCATTGTCTGCAAGGCAAGGCTCCACCATTAATTAAGAAACGAAAATAACAGTGGAAACATTGACTGCTGCTGTGTGTGGAGAACGAGGCGCTGCTGTTATACTCTGTTTGGGACAAGCTGTTTGAACAAGGTCAGTGGCCTACACATAAAATACTTGTATTTACAGAAATGTACTTTATTTGCCTTGACAACAGGCATTTAATTGCAACAACTCATATTAAACCCCAATGAAACCTGCAGTGCAGTTCAGAAGCAGACTTTTACATTTGTTTGTAAAAGGGCGTTACTCAAATGTCAACACACTTTCAGTCCATTATACGAACTCAAATATTTCTTCAGATTAGCAACATGGGTACTGTTAGAGAATAATTCTCCCTTACTCCTAAGATATTTCACCTTTTTGTCTGTTGACATTTATGACCAACCCTGACTCTGTTATCTCTCTTAAGGAATGTGCTGCTCATGATGATATTCCCAGTTTATGACCGGTCAACTCTCGGTCACAAATGGTTTATGGTTACAATGGCTTCGAGGCCATTAAGAGTCAGACATTTGACCCCCCAGATGTTTAGGCTATCTCCAGTGTTCCCAGATGTTTACGTTATCTCCCCCAATATGTAGATTACTCTCTGTAAACCATTTAAAAGGTCTAGCAGGAGAGAGGCGTGGCAGAATTGATGTGGCAACCCGCTCGTGCAGTCAGAACCTCTGGCTGCGGTGACTTGTGATGTGAATTCTCCGGCCGATACTTGTAATAAACCACCAGTGCTTGACATCAAAGCTCCAACTCTCCTCGTGTCTCTCTGAGTCCTGACTCTCAATTGCTACAGAAGTTTACCTTACAGGTACTGCTAACTGCCGGCTAATGACCCCATCAACAAGCAACGGTAAGAATCCCAAAGAGTACAAACCCTGATTTCCTATGCTTTGGTATGATAAGGGCCAGAGGAAACAGCAAAAGGCACACAAACTGCTGTGTTTACCACCACATTTCATTTAAAGCTTGAACCCCGGCTGTTATTGCCAGCCAATTCCCAGCACGCCAAACTATCTTGCTTTTCCGATTCCCGTTTTTTCCGCTGCCAAGTCCTCTATCTCTCCCTGCGAGGAATGACCCCCATCCATCACACCTCTCCCTGTCAATCTCTCACAGCTTAGCCCAGGAAACTAGAGCTTCAAACGGTTTCCTCCGTTTATGATGAAGCCGGCACTGCAGATATGGCAGGTAATTAACTGAGAGGGGGGGCACAGGAAGCACTGTGTACGTCGACAATGTTAGCTAGCAGATGCTTAAAGAGGGGGGTGGGGCTCTGTTGAAACTCATCTGAAGGGTAGAGATCTTATGATAACCCACAAGGCTCATAGTGTTGCAGGGAGAAATCACAAATAACAGTTAGTTCTGTAAAGAGAGGGTCCACATGCTCTGAAGATTGGGCTTTACACATGTCTGGGAGACAGACATAAAACTCAGTGCCACTTCCTGTTTCATATCATATGCACTTCAAACCATCTCCTATCATTGACTCTTCTTCTACTAACCAAAAAGCATCCTTTGATCTGGTAAAAGAAAGAATACAAATCAGTTTTTCCTTACAGAGAAATTATTTATTTAACCCAAGAAAATGATTCATCATTATTCTGGGGACAGGAACATGTCTTACTCAGGCTTGATCTCTTGAACTGGTTTGTGTTGCTAATTAATTCAACTTGTTCTGCAGTCATACAAAGGTTTTAAGCAGTATTTGATTTTGATTGTATATTATGTTTCAATAAAAGGTGGGTTAAAATAAAAACAACACACTAGTGCACATCACAGGTATTTTCGAGATGGTTTTCATTTAATAACTAAACATTTGTTTGTAATCTAATGCTAATAATCCCCGTTATCAAGAATTCTATCTTTACTCTTTAAATTCTGCTGTTCAGAAGTAATAGAAGCTGCCATCGAGAACTAAGGATGTATAAAGAAAACTGCATACAGCGTCTGAGGCGGGCCGTCGTTCATGTCTATGAAAGTTGCTCAGTGACACATGAAGCCCAAAATGGAGTGACTATAGATCGAAAAAGTACCCATATCTGGGCCCATAGAGCATGAACACTTGAGTTTTTGTTGAGCCTCAGATCTCTCGATATGGGGGTCAGTTAAATGAATGGAGAGGGAAAATGTCTCCCACAATTGGTGCACTTTTACTTTATTGGAAAATTAAATATTCTTCTGATCTATGTTGTATTTGTTTGGCTGTGTAGACCATCCCTTTAGACTAGGGATGATAATTGATAACATGTTATCAATAAAATTCAATTATTGATTAATTATCAATTGCCACGTAAATTACGCCCTTTTTTTATAGTAATTGTCATATATGGTTGTTTATGGCAAGAATATAACAATTTAAAAAGATAAGGAAATATATGATGGTAGTGTTATTAAAACCTTATTGGCATTAATAATGTATTATAATCTGCATAAAGCTACGATTACGAAGTTAATAAATCGTAATTCCCTTCTATAATATTTTTTTAATTGTCATCTACTTTTACTTATATTAAATTAGGCTTAAGGACAGGGACATGTATCACTTAAATGTGTAAACATAGTGACAATTTGTGCATCACTGCTGAAATTCCACACAACCATAAGAATTTTAGTCTTTTTTTTTTTTTAAACCTTCTTATTACCGTACATTATGTCTATGTATAGTGTCGCACAATGCAAATGAAGCTACATTTAGAATATATAAGTCCACTAAATGTGCCATTAGTATTATTAATCTGATCTTCAGGTATGTCTTTTTTTCATGTCACCTGACAGAGTTCTTTTGTCACACAAAAATAACTTTCTGGTTGTTCTCTGTGGACAAGTATTTCCACTGAAGCTAGTATCACAAAGAAGCCTTTTAAAGAGTGCCAAGGTTGCTTCCTCTGTGGTGCTTTGATGGCTCATTCTGGATGCACAGTGCTGAACACTGCAGTGCTGCAGGTGGCCTGCGGGTACCTGGATCTGCAGGGGGAGGTTGGCGCTGACGGTGTATAGTAGCACTTTGGTGGGTTTCTCCCTGCACATCAGCACCAGTTCCAGGTCCATGTCTCCTTTGATCAGCAGGCCTTTGGCCACCAGACCGACACGCGTCACCCCGCAAAGCGCTGGCGTGTGGTCGGGCCTGAGGGAAGATGGAGCACAGCCAGCATCAGATTATTCTGTTCACATAGAAAAGCTGACACAAATACAGTAGATGTTGAGAACTATTGCAACTATGGGGTGGTGCAGTAATCAGTCCTAAAATCCGGAAATCAAGTCAAAGTTTTCTTTTTAACAGTTGTTTGGTCAGGAGGCTAAAATAAGATAATATGGGTTGGTAGTATGTAAAGTGGTGCAGTAAAGTCCTACATCTGGAAGTTACCGTTTAAGCCCCTCTGGGTTTCCTCGCCTCAAGGCTTTTTTGACAGAAATAAGGTCTCTGGTTAACACAAGCCTACGAGATGTTCACGTTTTGTTCTACGACATAAAACGTGTCAATAAATACCCTTCTCATAAATGTCCGAAGCTTCTATGTTTCGGTTGCTAACTAGTAACAAGTGAGCAAACCGTGTATCATAACACCAAACAAAGGCAGACTTTTGCTAACTGATGGGGATTTAGACTGTGATGTTTTTAGTTTATAGCCTAGTGTTAGCTTGTTACTTCTGGTGATTGCATTTATGCTTCAAAAATCATAAATGTGTTGGAAATATGTGAAGGTTATCCTGTTGAACACAATATATTATAAACGTGTGTTTGCCACAGATACTGGAACATTTAACACTTTACCTACTCTTTGCACTTTCTGTTTGATGCAAACTGCCTTTTGCAATAAAGTTGAATCTAATCTAAACCGAAACGTATGTTCTGCAATATTCTGAGATCCATTTCAAAATTCCTATTGCTTTTAGTTGAAGGAGCCCTTGCTATGCTCACTTTGTTTAATGCTACCATAAACCACTGCATTTAGAAAACATATAGGTTGTTATAGGTACATGCTAATGCTATGCATAGTTTAGTTTAGTGGACCAATCACAACGGAGCCAGCCAGCTAACCAATCAGAGCAGATTTGGCTCTGGTTTCAGACAGAGGGTGAAAAGAGGTGCTGCAGCACAGGCAGTATGAGACAAATAAAGAGCTTTTTGAACATTAAAGCGTGGAGACATGTAAAATGAGCATAATAGGGCCCCTTTAAGAAAAAATATATGTTTTGGTATTCTGGGTGAACTGACACTTTTTGCTTAGGTTTTTTTTAAATGATTCTTCTTGGAGACATTCTGGTAATTCTCTTTGCAAAAACATTGCTGACTGGACATCCTCCTATATATCAACAATACAATATACTTATTTTTTTCTGTCCTGGTTGTGTTTTATTTCTATAAATCAGCTTCCTCTCTGTATCCTGTCTGAGATGATTTCTGAGTGCAGAACCTCTGTGTGTATTTGCAGGCAACGTGCCAAATGTTGAGGATTTATGATTTCTTGTTGGGCTTGTTTCATCAACCAATCATCACATGTTCCCTCCTGATGATAATTTACAGCAGAACACAGTTTTATGACAGAAAGGATGTAGCACTGTATTGAGGAAATGGATAAAAGAGGTGCTGCAGCACAGGCAGTATGAGAAAAATAAAGACCTTTTTGAACATTAAATCGTGTCACAGGAGTAGAGGCAGATAATATAATAATGAAACCTGACAAATTAGACATTTCAGCTAACTTTCCCACTGAGCAGGACCATCTTACTATAATCAAAGAAGAGATGCTCTCTGGACAGAACGGTGTAAACTTTCAGCTTTAAATCATCACGGTATGAACATTAAAACAACCCTAAAACAACAGCACATTCAGCAGGACATACTTTGTCTCAGCAGCTTCTGCCTCCACTTGAATGTCCCCAGCCTCATTATTGCTGGAGGTCTTTCCTGAGGATTTATTTAGTCCATCCATCCAATCAGATACTTTCTTTAGTGCTCCCTCCACAGTGGACACCAGCGTCTGGACGGCCTCCAGCTCCTCTGGTGCCGGGTATATGCTGGAGTGCTTGGCCATGACATTGCGGTCGTCGTTAGCAAACGATCTGAAAGACCTCTGGGTTCAGGAGAGAAGAAAAAAAGATATGGTCATTTTTTATTTTAGGTTTTCACTCCAGCTGATGCAGTATGAATCCCACTGCGGGAGCAGGTTCAGAGTGAAACTCAAGGATATCCAGAGAGGAAACATGGACTTCTGCAGGAATTAAACCTGTGGCTTTAACAACGTGTGACCTTTGAGTTGGTCTATCCTCCTCATCAGTGTCATTAATCAGCGTAAATGCCATCCCTGGTAATGTCGTTGACTTTTGTCAGTGAGCACGTACCGATTTATTAAGGGAACCTGATGTTTATTATATCAAAACGTATGGACTAATACCAACTGTCTTTGAACAGAATTGCTCATTTACCCATGAGCTCTCTGTACCCAGCATTGTTTGGAAGTTCATCATGGTTCCATATATAATTGCTAACTACATAAATGAACAAATAAAGTATTCTACTGTAAAAGAGACCATAAGATCTTCTATTTCATCTTTCAAAGCTCTCAAAGCTTCAGAGCCGACATGTGTCGAGGAAGCAGATACGTAGCTCGGCTGACAAAATGTCCTGACGTCCCGTAAATGTTGCGATTAATTAGGACAACACTGCACAACTTTACTGCCACAAAACCTTGACCTTAATGGGTTGGTTTTGGAAAAATCTAATTTATTTTTCCAAAGGAAAATACCAAACAGGCATTTTAGGTATTTATCAGATCTGGTTTTGGGATTGCTCTATGATTGTTATTGGGTCGAATGAACTGTGTTTCAGGCTCAAAAATTAAGGACAATTCAGAATATCTAATTTGTCAGCCAAATGTGGATGTAATATACGAAAATAATCTTTGAGGTGTTTTTTGACAACACATCATGATGCTGATATGGTATAATGCAGTGCTGTACTACTAATCTACACAGTATTTCCACTATGTATGTATTTTTACTTGTAGTGGAGTATTTTAAGACTATAGCATTTTTACTTTTACTTAAGTAAAATATCTGAATTACTCCAACACTGCTCGTTTTAGACAGGTAATGAAAAGAAGTACTACAGCACAGCCAGTATGATACAAAATAAGGAATTTTTTGAACATTAAAGCATGGAAACATTACATTATATTACATGTCATTTGTTAGACGCTTTTATCCAATGCGACTTACATATATTCAGTACTGCGGACAATCCCCACAGGAGCAATTTGGGGTGAAGTGTCTTCCAGGGACACAACGACATGCTGACTGCA